ATTTATTTATTTATTTATTCATTGCTAATTAATTTATTGCTAAGTTGTAATTAGTAATTTTCTTGTTTCACATGTAACTCACAACAATAAAAATTTGTTAGCGTCTATGTTTGATAATAAAATAAAATATATTTGTACTTTTCAAATGCAAAACTGATAGATTTTGTAGGATAAATTAATGGATGAAAATGGCAATGATGTCTGCTGACAAAAAGGTTCCTTGTGAACATTTTATAAACAGAAGAGAGATTAGTGTTAAGCATATTTTTGTTTGTAAATAAATTTTATCTTAGCATTCGTTTGATTGCTCAGATCCAACTGTATCATCACATTTCGGAAAATTTATAGCTGTAGTAAAATCAGCTTTAAATACAACTTTAATTTTTAAATACCATATGTAATATCGACAAAAAAAAAATTTTATTAAATAAATTTCAAAATAGAACTAATTATTTGCAGCTATTTTTCAAAAAAAAGAAACATTGTGAAATTTCATTTCCAAAAAGTATAGAACTTTTAAAATAATTCATACCAAAATTATATTATCACAAAAGCAATAGAAACAAGCCAATCGATGAAAAAGATAATTGGATAAAAAATTATGAGAGGGGCACAATTTTTGATGAATTCTAAAATTTGGCTAAAATATCATAACTAAAAATTAAATATTAATTATCTGAAAATCAAAAATTTAATTCATACAATTTAGTAAAAATAAGATTGACGAAAAAATTTTTTAGAGTTAAAATTACAAAAAAAAAAAAAAAATGAAATAATAATTCGTTTCTTTATGACATTAGAATCCATTTACTTGAATTTGCAAAAATTATAATTGCGAAGATAAACGAGAAAAAAAAATGGATTGTCCACTTTGAGAAGATACATTCTACCACTGCGGATAAATTATTCCCTATAAATGTTTAATGCGATTTGTGAGATATGCGATTGTGGAAGGCCATTAACCTCTTCAAACCTTTTGAAATCATTTCCTATTGAATCGAAATTTGAATAATCATTTAAAGTGTAGGATTACCTCGTTAATCAATAATTTATTAGTTAGCTAGAAGGTACAGTTAATAAATAATAGAATAAAAATGCCAATTTCTTGCGCTATACATTCAAGAAAAAGCGATGAAAAATTGAATTTGACAAAAAATATAAATATGAAAAAGAGACAAACTTCCATCACTAGCAACAAAGCTAAAGATAATGAAAACTTTGATCTAATTTCTCATATTAAAGTCTTTTTAGTTTTAAATAAAAAAAAAAAAACTTGTTATTTTATTTGCTGGATAAATCATTTTATCACAAAAAAAAGTATACAAAATTTGTTGTATTCCATAAATATTGTAAAAAAAAAACCATAAAACCTAACGTGCTATTGGAAAATTCATTAAATTGGGAGAATTCCAGTGAATTTTTTTCAACTATGCTAAGATTACTAAGATTTCAATTAATTTTTTTTTTCATATTTACTAAACTTTCCAATCGCAATAATTATCAATTATATGATTTAAATATTTTACATGAAATTTGAAACCGTTTTATCAATTACTGATTGATTAATTTTTAAAAATATCTTATAATTTCTTTTTACTGTCCATTTAGACAATATTTTGCTTCTCACTTTTTTTTCTGATTCTTTTCAGAGTAAACGAATGTTATGCGCGCATGACAGGCGTCAACATGTCGTGCATTATGCATGTCGCAAACTAATTTACCGTATTTCCGGTAAACCGTTTAATGGAAACAAGCAAAAAAGCAAAATCACCGAACTTCTCAAATGTATAAAAAAGAATTAATCATCCATTCAACAATACCATAAAATTTTGTTATAATAAAAAAAATTACATCTTCAAAAAGACACATTTCTTTCGGTACATTTCAAAAATTGCACAATTTTTTTTCGAACATCTCATTTTAATACTTCATTACAATAAAAATGAACTCACACGAAATTTTTATAATCGCAAAATAGGTTCAAATATCCATTTCAAATATTGTTTTGAATTCAATTTTAAATTTTTCATCATGACATTTTGATGTATGTCAGAAAAACAAATTAAATTGTTAATGTTAGCAAAGATACAAAATTTAATAAGCTATTTCAATTAATTTAACAAATGGATATTGACAATGTTAAAAAATGAGCACTAAAATACAAAAGATCTATTTAAAGGTCCTTGTTAGACAACGTGGAATATCACGTAATATGTTAGGGACTTAAATGTACATCTCTGTGAAGCACGTAGAACAGAAAAAACGTAAAGGTTAAAAAAAAATATTGTCAACAACTATACAGCTGTATACGACCAGTGATGTAAGTTATTTGAAATTCTTTAAATATTTTAAATCACTGATAAACAAAACTAACAGATTTTATTTCCTAATAATATGTAATTGGATTTCAAATATTTTCGAAGAATATATTTGAAGATATTTGCCAACTAGAAGAAGAAAAGAAAGCTGAAATTTTGCATAAATAGATTTAAAAAAAATTGAATAGCCAAAAAAAATAATACAATTTAATGAACATGCAAGAAAGAAAAATCAATATTTACCGTACAAATTTTTGATAATATAATAGAAAAGATACATCTTAAAAATAGCCAAAACAAATGATAATAAGGTGACAAAATTAATGAAATTTGAAATTGGAATTCCAGAGTGCAGTTATTTTTTCAAATTTTAAACATAAAAAAATGCAACAATCTATTCCAAGCTTTCTGAATTTAAAGTTTGTTTTCTTTTTTTTCTCTCTTCTTCCTCACTCACTCTTTAACTTCTTGTCCACTCTTGAAACCAAAATTTACAGTATGAAAAAAAATAGCAATACGAAATGCATAACAGTGCACGTTTTTTAGAAAGTCCAACAAGTAAAATAAAATTTTGATATCAGTTTCATGTTATGTGAAAGCTTCTAGGAGTAAACTGTATTTAAAAAATTTCAAAACACATTTAAAATTTCGAGAGGTCTCATAAATGCGGTTGTTTTCTCAAGCTTACACTTAAAAGTTTTTATGATAAAACTGATATTAAAATATTGCATAATTTCCAAATTCACTCAGTGTAAATGTTTAACTTTCATAATGCACAAAAAAGGGAAGTGTTAATGATAAAAAGATGAGTTGAAAATTTTTTTGTTACGATAAATTTTTCATATTTGATGGGAGTCAAAGTTATTCAAAAATATAGCTTTGACAATCCATTGCAAACTGGAAAGAAATCATTTGTCTGAAAGGAAAGATAAAAGTCTGATATATTTATCAGTTGCTCAAATTTCAGATCAAATAGAATTTTAGAAAATTTTGAGCTTATTTATTTGAACACTTCATTTCAATTTGTTTGGATTTAGGGGCGACAGATTAGATAACTCGTAAATTTCACCATGTAACAGTTTAGCCTCATTACAAATTTTACGCGCAATGAAATTAAATCTATCGTTTGATTGGTTAAATATAAAGAGAAGTCAGAAATCATCAACGGTGAAACATTTACAGTAATGCATTTTTAAATGATTCTAAGAAGTTGCAATATTTGTTAAAAATTCCATTAATTAATAGATAGACGTAAGCATTACACTCAGGAATTTACAATCCCTGATATTGATCATTAGCAGCAAAAGAGCATGATGATTTCAGTTAATTAATATTAATTAATTAATGATCATTTGATGATGCAATCTGATGCAGCTTACGTATATGCTTCTTGAGATCAAAATTACGACAAAAGCCCCTGGCGCAAATTGGACAAACGAATGGCTTCTGTTCTCGATGTGTATGCATATGAAATGTTAGATTGTATGTTTGATGAAAAGCCTTATTGCATATGCTACATTTGAATCGTTTTTCACCGCTATGCGTTAATTTATGATTTTTGTAATTTCCATTTTGATGAAATCCTTTACCACACAATTCGCATATGTATGGTTTATAGCCTAAATTAAAACTTATATTAATTATAACTCCGATTTACTAGAACATTGTTACTTTTTTCTTGCATTACTTATAATTTTGACTTACTAAAAAAAACATCATACTTTTACATCGTTGAATTATAAAAATTTCCAATTTCACAATCAACAGATTTGTAAAATTATTGACGTAATTGCTACTTCATGCACAAAAATTTGCATTAAATCTATTGTATGCTATAATTTACACATCTTTCTATCTTCAATAGTTTATTTCATTGCAATTTTAATTCATAAAATATGACTTGAGAAATTAGACACAATAAAAAACTGCAAATCATTCAAATAAATTTTTACTCGTGAATAAAAATTAATAATATTTAGCAATTGAGATAGTATTATTAAAATTGGAGCTCACCTAAATGAATGCGAATATGAGTGTTGAGAGTTGATGAGCGATTAAAGCATTTGCCACAGGTGACACACTGAAAGCTTCTTAGATTAGATCATATTTATAATGAAAATGTGCATTTATCCATTCTTTATTCCTCATCTTCCAATCTTTCTTTACTAATGCATATGTAAATTATTCTTACATACATCTATCATCTTTTAATATTTCATTTTCTTTTACAATTTTATATATTTCAAAAGTTTATTTAACCATCAAATTTATGAATTAAACAATGAATTGATGAATAAATTATTTGGGAAAAGAATTTAAAAAAAAAAAAACAAAAAACAAAAAACAAATGCTTACTGTATGAGGTTTTTGTTCCGTATGTATAATTTTATGACGACATAATGTTGAAGCTTGTCGAAAAGCTTTACCACAAACCTAAAATTCCTGTAATCCGAGATAATTCAAAAATTTTTTTTTCAAACACATTTAAATTTGCATTTATGATTTTTAGAAATTAAAATAATAGCACATAATTGTGACAAATAATCATGCAAATATTTTGTATTATTAAAATGAAGTTAAACATATTATGGATTAATCATCCACAATAAAAACAATTTTATCGATTAGAATTTTCCCACTGACATTCAATCCATTTATAATTTAATTTCGTATCTTTTTTTTTAACTAATGCATATATGAATTATTCTTCTATCATCTTTTAATATTTTATTTCCCCATATAAGTTAGCTTCTATCAATACTGTACTAACTCTAGCCACACTTTTCAAATTTTAACCAAATAAGCTTCGCTTACTTATATTTTTAACTGAACCAAAATAAGAATATAACGTTTCTTTCTTCTTGTTGCCAATGCCTGATACTTTTTCATAATTATAAAACTGTAAACTATTTATTGCCTTTCTTTCATCTATATGAAGCTGTTGCAAAATAATGAGTTTCATTACAAATTGAAGCAATTTGTAAGTAAAACACAAATTTGCTGTCATTTGTCAAAGTAAACTTCTTCCCTATTTGGCATATAAAATTTTATGTTCACCTGTAATGTGATAAGAATTTTTTTGGCATGTAAGCAAAAGGAACATCTATTTTCAATATTTGCAACACATTCTGCACTGTAGAAACATGTTTAGGTCCTAATCGTCAATTAATAGAAAATTAACAATTGTGCGGTTCATCTTAACACAAAAACACCTGGTTAACACTTCTTTTATCATCTGAAATTTCTTTTGTTATAGTTAATTTTCTATATTCATTAAAAAAAAAAAACCTTTCTACCCTGCAACAATCACCACATCAATTTCTTCACTTACAGAGATGTATGACTATTATCACAAATTCTTGATATGTTTTGAAATATTTAGTAACGACAAAATTTTGCTTAGCTCTTCAGGTTTTTTCAAATTACCTTTGTAAGCAGTAAAATTTTGCTTCGAACTATGTCGAATAAATCTCACACTATGAAGAACCAAATATATAATTGAATTCTTTTCAATATTCTTTCAGGAATCTGAATTTGAGGTGAGAATAGAATTTTGTAGAGAAGGCATAAATTCTAAAGATAAGTGTTACGAAAATGTTACGAAAAATGTCAAACTAAATTTATTTTCTCATATATTCAAATTTCTTGATAAATTATTAGATTTAAGTAAGAAGCAAAGAAAAAACCTCCCTGTGCAAAAAAAAATTAAATAGAAAGAATAGGAGAAAAAAATGATTTTTTGTTAATTGCATTTTATTAAATTTTGAAGCTCGAAAAATAATTTTTCAATTTTACAATTGTAAGACAATAAAATTTTATGAAAATAATGAATCTCATCAAATTAGATTTCAATGGATTAATTAGAATTTTGCTAGTCCCAATTAATTTTCTTTTTATCAAACTAAAATGCATAAGTTAAAATAAATTATTGAACTGAACAATAAATTGCTATATTCAAAGTTAGCAAAATTGTGTTATTTTAAAGATTGCAAAAAAAAAATGACTTTGCAAAGAAATGGTCGAGCTCCAGTATGTACCGGCATATGCCTTGTCAAATTGTAATGCGCACTAAATACTTTACCGCATTCGGGACATTCAAACGATTTGCGTTTTTCATCATTCCAAGAGCCACTCCAAAATGAACTTGATGATCCGGATTTCCAAACCTTATTTTGTCTTCTAGCAATTGTAAAATCTAAAATTCCAACATCAACTCAACTTTTCTTAAAAGCAAATTTCCTGTCATTGTATCAAAAAAATTCCATTACAAAATTATGTAAGACTACCGGAAAAAGAACAAATCAAGGAATGTTTAGCTGGATAGCATAACTGTACATCAATTATAAAGCGTAAGATTCATTTATGAAATTGATAAGGTGCTTAGTTTAACTTATTCATTAGATAAAATGTTAATAAATAAGATTTAGCCAAAAAAAAGAAGACATAAATATAGCAAAAAAAAAAGTATAAAAGAAAAAAGCAAAATTACTTAATACATTTTTAACTAAAAGATTGAAAATTATTTATGAAATTAGAAATTATTTGAATCATTTTATTATCTTCTCTGTCTCTGTAAGATATCAATTTTTACTAAAATTTACCTGAATTAAGAATGGCATCAATGGAAAATGGAAGAAAAGCCATTTTTCCTTTTAAAATTTATTTTTCACGAATGAATTTCGATCGTTCACCGTTTAGTTTCTCAGCAAATGCCGATGATTGCAATATGAATATGAATGATTTGTTTTCTGATGATTTATGATGGCAGCAGGCGGAGCCAATAATATTTTTCAACGCCAATCAAACATTCATTCCTCTTATCTTTCTTCACCTTCTCTCAAATTACCGTATCCTCCTTCACTTTTAATATATTTTACCTTTAATGTTACACATTTCTTTCTTTTTTATTTCACTGTGTTAAAAATCTATAAGCATAAAATTAAATAATATTGAAAAATAATTCGAAGAATTTCCATCTTTTTTTTTGCTGTCATTTTTTTTCCAATTGTTCACTTTATTCATTTTCCTTTTTTTTTTTCCTTATCACTTTGTGTTATAATGCTTGCAACTAAATGTCATCAATTAAACTATATTAATTTATAATTTAATTTATAATGTTATACATTTTATAATCATTTGAGCAAATCAATGATAAGCTAACTAGTTGAAACAAAAACATTCGTAATTCAGATTATCTATAACCTATAAATCTGTGAATGATAACAGATGGATTATTAAAATGGCTAGCATAATCATAATAATCATATTTTAAGAGGTTTATACTATTGACAAATGCACTACGCATTGATGATGTTCCATTAGTGTTATTACTTTTTTTTTAAATTTTCACACATACAAAAAAGAAAATGGAAGAAAATTTGTCTCAAATTACAAATTATTTTTTAATTACATTATAATATTATATCGATTTTAGTCAAACAATCTACTATCATTTCGATTTTTTATATTCAACATAGTAATATAAAAGTATTTGCTATGTTTTCTTTAATGTTTATAGTAAACTATACATAACAAGAGATTTTTTTCTTTACTTTCTTCGCTAAGAAGCTTTTCAAACTGACTTAAAAATATCATTAAAACGTTAGCAGTTTGCGGCTAATGATGTCTGTTATAGAATTAACAAGTGGAGAACTGAAAAATTCATTCGTAAAAGATTGAAAATTGACAGCATCACGGGATATTTATTTTTGATCCTCTCTTTTCTTTTTACCAGCTGTATTTGATACTACGTGGTATATTCTAAGCTTAAATGGACTTTAGGTGTTGATTGATTAGTCAATTATTAGCTATATTTGTGATGAATTTTATACTGTCATCAGTATTGCAATGTTATATCGCATTCAGAAACGCATCATGTCGAACCGTAGTGTCGGGACTTTATGTAGTAGATGTACAGAACAAACCAAAACATAGTCATTTGTCATATGTTATCCACGGTATTCCATTTCTTATATTCATTTTTAATGTAGCTGTTCCCAATAAAATCTTTATATACTTATAGCATTATATAAAATTTATTACAAGTTACACTATGAAATATCTTGAAGTGAATCAAAAATCCCCATAGTCAATTGCTATTAACTCACAAAAATCGGCAGCTGCTGGCACAATGATCTAGTATGTATAAGTTTTTCCTTGAGGTTTTGATTAAAAAAAAAAACAGAAGTTGATCCAATAATATATAAAATTCATGATTAATTTTTATTTTCTAAATACTTTCTTACAACACTGCAAAAGTTTTCGAAGTCATTACTGTCGCTTTAAATCATTTTGAGTTCAAATTTAGGAAAATTCCACTTCATCTCCCGATAATTTGAAAGTGACTGAACGCAAATGGCTGTTCCGTGGAAAAGAATGCACGAAAAACTGGAAGAGCTGAAGTAAAAAATGCATGTGGACAGCGCGACGACCACAGAAATGACAAGAAGTTCGTAGCAATGACAATTTAAACTATTCACAACTGCAAAGCAATAGATTTAACACATTTAGGACACTTTTACAATCAGCAAAAATATCCTACACAAAATTATTTCCTTCTTCCTATTTATCACCAAAACTGTAAAAAAATCACTCTACAAAGAAAGCGTCATAAAACCAATAATGTGATCTATCTCGTACGGTTCCCAGTTTTTTTTTTGATAATTATCAAATACTTTATCCTTCGTTTCAAAGGAGAAGGGTTCCCGATCAACTGGGACGCAAACTAACCGAAATAGGTGATGAAAACTAACACAAATGCAGACAATATCAATCTTCAGAGCCACAATTAATAGGATACTATTTGCAACTAGATTCCCAAAACTATGAAATGCCCGCGAGTGCTGAAACAGAATTTGAGCCTTATCATCTTTTTAAGTTAAATCTGAAATTAAAATAAAACACCGAATTAACTCAGTATACAAATTGACTGTAAATTCAAGACACTAGTTTTCAACAACCAGTAAAATGAATGCAAGACATAAAAACTCCGAAAATTTTAAATATCACAAAACAGGAATGAATATTAAGCTGAGCACAACGAATTTATCGAAAAGGATCGAGAAAAATTATAAATAAAAAACTGAGAATAATTTAATAGTGACTGCTGATAAGTTATCACTGCTGATGACCAGCATGCATCAAAAAATTTTAAATTTGATTTCTGAAGAGAAATATTTGGATATGCAGAAATGACATGTTACAGTTATTATGCTTATTAATATAATATGATACAATAAAAACTTGATATATAAAAGTACAGAGACGAAACAGAACGGAAATATTATGAATGATAACAGCTTAAGATAACGCCACAACAATTATATCAGTAACAAGCTAAGGTTTACAGTTTGATGACAACCACGTTAAGCCTTCATAGAGCCCATCACCAGTTGTCGCACAAGATGGCTGTACATACCAATTTCGATCCCTTATTCGTGTCAGTCCTAACTTATCCTGTATTTCATGAGGCTTCATTGCTGCAATGTAACAAAAATTCATAGTTGTTCACTGAATTAGTTACATGACCCTAAAGAAATGTAAACGTCATTAAACCCTTTCTGCTTCCTCCAGTTCAAAAAATTTTAGACAATCATAAGGAAGCATGATATGGGCACTACGACATCGATGCCACCAAATATGATGTCAACTGAGCAGCGATATTTAAAGATGATCTACAGTGAGCCGAGTACTACTGTTTTCCTTTACTGAAAATGCCAAAAACTTCGATCAAAATAATGTCTTGCTTCCAACAAGCACTTAACAAATATATACCGTCTTCAAAATTTACTCAGTAGTTCCACGATACCTTAATAGCATCCAGTTATTGGTTATTCTACATCGCCATCGCACAGGTCAAACCTATGTAACCATATAAAAGTACTTTTAAAAAAGAACAAAAGTTAACAATTCTCAAAAACAAACATCGTGAACGACCCAGATAAACATTAAGAATGGGTTTTTTTGTAAAAATTAACCTTCTGAAAGGTCTTGCTTGTTGGCAAAAACAAGAATAATTGCATCTCTCATTTCCCGATCGTTGATGATTCGATGTAATTCCTGCCTTGCTTCATCTACTCTCTCTCGGTCGGCAGCATCAATTACAAATATTAAGGCTTGCGTACCTGTATAATAATGCCTCCAAAGAGGTCTTATTTTGTCTTGACCGCCAACATCCTGCAAGTTTAATTCTTTAAAGAAGACATAGGATGAAAAGGACAACAAATCAAATACAATGAACATTATGTGACATAACTGCCAGCTCTTATCTGCAATAGTCATACCAAATTATTATTAGAGCATGAACCGGTTTCGTTAATTTAATTAATTGCCATCAGTGCCTGCTACTGCTATATGAAAAATACTATCATTAGAGAAAATTATACTTCATATATTTAAACTAGCCGTGTATGACTTCAAAGGAAGCAAAAAGTTATTTCTTTAGTATCCATAGCGGAAGATTACGAAGCAGAAATGAAACAATAACTGAAGAAGAAAAATTAACAAAAGTCAAAATCAACGAGAAAAAAATCATTTCTTGAACTCAAGAAAGCTCACCCAAACATTAAATTTAATGTTTTTGTAAGTTACTGTCTCAACATTGAAACCAACAGTAGGGATCGTTGTTACTGACTGTCCCAATTTCAACTTATATAATATAGCTGAAAAAAGAACTGATTGAAACATCAACTAGTCTGTTGCATTTGTTCCAATTCCCGGCAAAATATTATTTGGTCTCAAATTTAGAGTATAATAATCGAGCTGAACTAAGAAATGGTACCAAAATCCCGATTCATATTTTAATGAAAAATAAATTTCATTGAAGTTTAGGAAATCTGACAAAGCTTACTTGTCTTACCCGCAGCATCCAAGCCAAGCATTAATATTCGCATTTCTCGTTTGCCAAATATTTTCGACAGTAACTTTCCCATGATTCAAGCGAAAAGAAATTGAGGAGGGGGAGATTCTCCCGCCAGAGGTCACAATACGGTGGATAACACCACTGCAGTGATGATTTTAGTTCTTAACAACGTTAAACAAAGGAATTCAAAAATCATTCTTTGCTAATAATGATACGGAAACGTCCTGCATGTAGAAGTAGCACAAATGATGAATCAATACTGTTTAGGCAATCAATTGTCCCGATATGATGACTGTTGCAACAAAAAGATGAATACACGGTTTTATAAAACCTAAAAATGACACAATCTTTGTCAAGGATAAACGAATTATTACACAGGGACTAAAAATTATAATTAACACATTACGCCTGAGAGGAAAGAAATATCTCAACTAGTACACTTAAGGGCGATATAAGAATGAGAAGGAGTGAATAGTGTTGAAATATGATAGCACAACATTCCTGAAGTTAGATGCAACTCGTAAAGACATTAGTACATAAAACGAACTTGATGAGATTTTTCGACTCAAAAGGTAATCAGACAAATTCAAAGAATAAACACCCTAATTATTCGATCGATTAAACAATTGAAATCAAGAATACTAGCATACAATAGCTAGAATCTCATCTTTTTGAAAAGATCACTAATGGTCCAGTGAATTATTTTATCATTATTAACAATTATGTAACAGTATGCGAATGATCCGAAAAATTGAATTCGGCTAGAATAAATGAAGAGTAAAAC